ATACGGAGGGAATGATGGTGGTTTGTTACAGCGTGAGTGGCGGGTCCTAGCCGTGAAGGTTAGAAGTAGCGGAACTAAGGAATGCAGTTCGTCTGAGCACTTTCCATGGAAGTAGCGATTGAGCAGCGTGAGGCTTGCCAAATCCCGTCAGTCAGAGAAGGTTTGGGGGGTGTAAAATAATCTGCCACTCACAAGGACGTTAAGACGCTTTTAGATTCTATCAAGACCAGAAAGTGAGGACTGGGCAGCTCCTGTCCAAATATGACAGCAGTACTCCATTTTAGACCTGATCTGGCTCTTGTAAAGATACAGGATAACACGAGGAGTCAGGTACTTACTGGATTAGTAATGGATAGCGACTCGGATTGAGTAATCGGAGAGCCGAGTTCGAATCCCAGTCGAATCCGTCACATTCATTTACGTGCTAATACTCTTGGGAAAGGTATGAACCTCCCTCTTCTCTCCCAGCTATGGGTAAATAGCAGGACAGACCGGGTTCTATAGCCTTGGATGGCAACTGGTCTACCGCAGAAAGAAATGGCAACCTAATGCGGGAAAAAAATCTGCCTCGTATCGAAAGATACATGATCGCCTAAGTGTGTATCACGCATGACTGACTGATAGGGAACCAAATATTTTTCCTGCATCTTTATCAGGAATGCACGAGTTTCACTTGAGGTCTGGGTTAGTTTAAGGCCCAATAATCTTTCAAGTCACGGGGCCTCCCTAAGAGGTCATCTATTCATCATGACTCGATGATGATTGAATGTAACTAGTTTGTTTTTCAGATGCAATTGTTTAATACGCAAAATAGGTTACCTCGTTAAACTTACAAATAAATCTTGCCATTTAAATAAGGCATTCTTAATATGCGTCATATGATATTCTGAGAGGCCGTGGCGTATTTGGAGGGAGACATAGATGGAAAACTGAAAAGAAAATATACCTGGGGTGGGGATGACGATTGTAGTAAAATACGAGAAACAACGGAGTTTCAATAAGTTATATTTCCTATGCTATTGGAAGGACGATTAACGACTTCCTAATCTTCTTTCATTTTTCTTCTTGTTCTTCTATATGCCATTTCCCTTCAGGTCTTAGGCGATCATGGATCGCCACAATTTCATGTCCTTTGTAGCTCTTAGTAAGATTTTTTTCGTCCTCTCTCCCACTCTCTGTTCTGTTATCCATTTACACAAACTCGTTTGGAAGGTTACTTGCATCATTCTTTTGCCCCTCTTGCATTCAATATATCCTGTGAGTGTCAAACACTCGAAGTCCTCTTTCCTCATTACGGGTGCCAGAAATTTCAACGTAAAGATTTCAAAATGTCGGAACACGGAAATGGACACGCAACGAAAAAGAAAACTAAAATCATTTTGTTGAATAGCAATTCCCTGTATAGGCAGTAAATGTATGTACCTACCAAATTTAGCTTAACCTGACACAAAGCCACAGGTGGAAGCCACTAGTATGCTTTTAGTTGAACTCAAAATGGGAAGAAAAAGATGTGTTGTACCACGTTTCCAAGTGGGAAGGGCATCGCAACCCTGTAATAATATTAATAAAGGCAATCTGTAACATTTACGTCCGCAAAAAAAAAAATGGTATGTCAAGGATAGTTTTCCCTTGACACCGCTATTATTTTAATTACCATCACTTCTCGGCAATGTTTATTGTTTTTAAAAGCGAGGATTAGAATTTTAATAAAACTTAAACATATCAAAGTGAATTTATACATTTTCTTTGTTCTTGAGAAATGACAACAAAAATAATAAACAGTATTTATTTATTAGATTGTTTATTGGAATGGATGGCAAAACATCGGCGAATTGCTAATCAGTTCGAATTTGATAAAATGGTAATCAGAATTTCCGTTTAGTTGGCGCATATATTTTAATAATTGAGTAAATGTTTATAAATTTATGAATGAAATATTGTTTTCATATTTATTTCTTTATAAATTGGTAAATGATAAATATTGTATTGCATTAGTTTCTATACAATTGTATTAGTTTTTTTTTCTTTTTTTTCCTTTTTTTGAGAATGTCATAAAAATATTCTTGCTTAGATTTTATTACAATTCTACTCATCGCTTTTTTAAACAATAAATATTGCCGAGGAGTGAATATAGTTAAAATAATAGCGGTGTCAAGAGAAAAACTGTCCCTATGACATGCCATTTGTGCTGGCACGATGGTTAAAGTTTATTAAAAAAATAAAAAAAAATAATAAACAATCAGCATTTGAAATCTTGATCTTTTGATGGGTTTGAACACTGACCATTGGTTCCAGTGTAAAATACACAACTCCCTCAGTCACAATGTAAATTCTTAGTTATTTCACTAAGGCCACAATATTGGTACACTCAGGACTAAACTCACACTAACGAATCCCACAAGCACTTTGGTCTCGGTGACGATTTTTTTTTAGACATCGTGCTACAAAAAGAGCCAATTCTCTCAAAGACTCACCATGCCGTTTATTTACAACTCAAAACGACTTCAGACATTTTCTTGTTCATTATAAGACATGACTACAATGTTTGTCTTCAGCTATGTCTGTAAAAATGATGTCAATAAACCTATATAAATAAAGCACAGTGTACGTGTGTCCGTCCGTTTTTCGATCTCGGCGACTTATAAACAACCTGAAATAACAGGTAGTAATTACTGTAGTTTCAAGAGTTTAAAAATTAAATAAATGACACATTTAAAGTTAAATTTAAATATCGAACAGAGTGAATGATTTTTAATACAATTCTTTGTTAAAGGTCTAACTTTAATTTTGCTTTTCGTCGCAATTGCAATCGATATCATCTAATTAAAAACCGTAATTAAAATGTTGCCCATATATTTCTTTTCTTTTTCTAGCATGCGTACTGTTATATATTCGAAACATAGTTCAGGTTCCCTGAGTGACTTTATGTGAAGGGATCATAAACAATGGTGATTTTAAAATAAAATAAAAATTGCAAACAAAACAGCAAAATGAATGTGAACCAACTATGGAGATAGGTTGCATATACGAAGAAAGATTATGCCGAATTATGGTGTCGAATAAAATAATTTTATTATTTCTAAATTCTTATAACTTTTACATAGACGCTGAAGGTAAAAGGCCGAAGGAGCTGGTCTAAAGTCCGCCCGAAGGGCAGCTTCTAGGCTAGTAGATAATAAAAAATAAATTATATTTACTGGTAAGTACCAGGGATGTCATAAAAAAAACCGACAAACGCATTTAAAATAATTTTAATGGCTTTTTTGAACTTAAATTTCGATTTTATTTGAGAGATAATCATAATCTAATCCGAATTAAGAAAAAGATTAATTTCCGTATATAAGTAAAACGTTTTTACTTTTTAGGTATTTTTAAAACATTTTGGCACATTTACTCGATAATCATCGAACCACTATCATAGACGAAAAACGTTAACAACAAATTTAAAAGCGCGCGGAGTATTCAAAATAGAAAATTAAAGAAACTGAAAGTTCAAGAACACCAGCAGTGCAATAATCAAGACATTGGTATTTTTATGTCTAAAAATAAATTATCTTTAATCAATAGTTTAAGAATATAATATTTTATTCTATACTATTTTATGAAACTAACAGAATGAATAATTTTATTTTTTTTATACTACAAGTAATAATTTTTTGTCAACATTGGTTTTCTTTTCGTGTATTATTTTTGTACCTGTGTGATGCCATCAAATATCAAAATCGCATTCAATGTGTTTCGTAATTATTTTGAATTTAAGAGTTATTTAATTATCATATATTATAAATTACTCTCCAGATAGCAAAAGATAGTCAAATCCAGTAATTCAGAATTATTTCCTTTTTGAATGCCCATACAACAGATGTTGAAATGAAAAAAAATTGAAATTTTTCAAAAAAAGTTTCACTCGTAAACCGAACGGTATTTAAACTTTACTTTGTCCGATTATTCAAACGTCCTTTTTAATTAAAAACAAAACAACTCTTCTTACGAACAGCAACGGGTTGAATTTCGAAATCACAGAAAAATGACAAATAATCAATAACAATTATTATTTATTATTCGTAATAATAATCCTTCTCCTTCGTCTCTCTTTAAGGAAAATAAGCGTTTTTATTTGGTTAGTTAGCTGTTAAGAAAGTAACCGTTGAATTTAAAATGTTGATATATTGATTTTTTTTTTTTATTTTTAATTGCATTTTCCGAATGAACCGCAATAAAATTAAAACCGGACTCTTTTCTAAGTTCTTCCTTTAAAGTGCCTGTAAACAGTAAAGTTGTAAACAAAATCGTTCCCTCTCCGCTTTAAATAACTTAAAATAAAAACCAATAATTAAAAAAAATAAAAATAAAAAAAATCGGCTTTCTTCTCTTAAAAATCTAATCATTGGGATGGTGGTTGTGCAAAAACTGTAACACAGACACTAAGTCACTACATTACAGCCTTCGTGAAATTTATTGAAAAATAAACCCCATGTAACAGAATTATTACCAACACATTTATTGCATAATATGGGCACTTTTGAAGCAATAAAAAACGGAATTTTCCAATGCTAAGACTAAGAGTAATTAACAATAGATATGAATTAGCAAAAGAAGTAATGTATTTTAATTGGGACAGAGAGGTTAAATGCAAAAGGCGAAACCGTTTTGAAAATGAAAAAAATATTTTCTGTTATAAAACGAAACGATAAACAATGAGGAAAATAAAATTAGTATTTTAAAATATCTATATTCGATAATTGCTAACGTTAATAGCTAGGGAACTGTACATTGTCTATTTAAAAACTTAAAGACTAGCACATTTTAAAGAAGGTTAACTGTCCTAAAGTTAACGAACCGGAATTAGTTTTAGTATTTCCGGAAGTATCAAGCCCACAATGAAATATTTCCGCGAGTTTGCTGTTAGTTATAGTGTACGATATATTAAAATAAACACGTGCTATCAACTTTAACAAAAAAAAACAAAACATCGAGCGAGTATGTTGATAAATTGAAAGGATATATTTTTTCTCTCGGCGGATAGGGTAAATATACCTTTTTATATGGGGGGAACCTTTGTTTTAATCGAGAAGTAACATTTGTTATTCAAACACGTTTTTTAGTTTTCCTTTTCTCCCCTTCTTATCTACAGATCGTTAAACTGAACACTAAAAAAGTAATAATTACTGTTAGTATACAATTTAAATTTTTACTTTCACAGAACTATAAATATTGTTTTAAAAACACGCAGTTACCTTTGAGAACTGATTTTTAAATATCTGTCGCTTATTGTTAAGTCTTTAACAGCTCTTAAGACTGTTTAAGTTTCGTAATCACTGGATGCTTGTTTTTAAAAATTTAGGAAATAGCGATATGTCGTTTTATGATCTTTTTTTTTTATTTAATTGTTGTAAAATTTTCATAAAATTTAGAGAAATTATGTACTTTTGTTTTTTGTTAAACAAAATAGATTTTTAAATTAATTTGAAACCCCCTTTTTTTTTTTTTTTTTTTTTTTTTTTTTTGTGAGCTTGTTAAAAAAATGGACACCTGCTGTAGTGCGATAGTTCTGTTTAGCAAGTTTCATTCCACCAATTCGTTAGTGTACTACTGTAGTCAATTCAATAAGTTTCTGGCAAGTGTTTTAAAACAGTGGAAAAAGCGACGCCGAAATCTGAATGCTAATAGCAAAAAAGAAGATGAATTCCAAAATAATCTAAGCAAAGTACCAAGAAACCAGAAAATATCGCTAGAAACAAGAACTGGATATAATTTCTGAGTTCTCCTATGGCAGTGAATGCTGGACAATTTCCTCACAAATGAAGAGGATATTTAAAGCAATTCAACAGCGATGTTCTAGTAACACTCTACACTACAGAAAGATGTTTGTTGTGAATACTAAATATAGCTCATAAACAAAAACAAAAAAACTAAAAAAAAGCACTTACACAGAATCAGTAAGGGAAAGCTGAAATTGTTTGAACACCTAATGAGGAAAGCGAGCTTTGAAAATTTGTTATTCACGGGACATATCGAATGCAGAGCGTACATGAAGCGGGCCACTTACCTGACTCGCTTTGTGTTGTTGAATGGATGGCAGAACGTAGAGTGGGAGACATGCCATATGATAAAAGCTACAAAGGATAGGAAGTTGTGGAGAGCCATTATCACTTATTACACACATTCTAAAAAAAGGAACATGGCACATGGTCGGTTCGATCTGTGTTACTGTTAAATGTGTGCTTAAAACTTCTGTTTCGTAACTGAGATAATTATGCGTACTAAATGCCAGCAGTTGGTGTTTTTAGTGTTCAAGCTTAAGTATTAAAGTTTAAAGAAAAAGATTTACTTTAAAATGGAAGACTTAGTATTACTGTGGATGAATTGTTGATAATATTTCTTGTATTGAGAGATCGCTTATTGGAGATGAAATATAGCCTCTTCACTGAAAATAAATAATTACATCGTAACAGTAGTCTTTGGGATTAAATCACCTGTTGTTTTTAGAAAACTAAAAACGGTGATAATGAAGCCTGGCAATGTAACCCTGGTACCCTTTCCCAAAAACGATGTGTCAAAAAAGGACAGCTATGATACCACTACTTACTCTCTAGGCAATGTTTATGTGAACCAAAATCAGATATTTATTATTTACCATTTTATAAAGAAATAAGTTTGAAAAAAAAAGAAATTCTTCTATTCAAAAGTTTATAAAAAATTACAAAATTATCAAAAAAAACCCAACTGTAGTGTAAATTAACCATATTTACCATTATTAAATAACTGTGATAAGTTTTTAATTTTATTCAATAATTTTATCCTTGTCAAATCTCAAGAATAAAAAAAAATGTATAAAATAAATCCACTTTCATGTGTTTGATTTTATTAAAATTCTAATCATCGCTTTTAAAAACAATAAACTTTACCGAAGGAGTCAAAAAAAAAGTGTATACATACAATAATATGGGTGTCAACCAAGGGAATCGAATTATTTTGTTGTTTTGTTTATTGCCGTAAAAAAACTTAAGACTACCAACAAATTAGTTTTCTTTTTCAATTTCATTAGTGATGTTTGCTTTGATCTTACGTTCGAATCAATGAAACATAATGGAAAGTTTTTATAATTTATTTTTCAAATGTTGATAAACAATCATTTTTCATCGTGATGTTATAAGCAGTTTGTGGCATAGATTGACATCTTTTTATTTTATCTTTTTAAAAATTTCTGGGCCATATTTCTGATATGGAGGAAGCAGGCTCATTTTTTTTTTTTTTTTTTTTAGCCTCCCAAAAAAGAAATCTTAAAAATATGCACTTGTATTTATAATTAATTAATTTTTTTTTTTTTTTTTTAACAGTATACACTAACAGTGAATTTTCAACTGCTTCGTGACTCCAAGTTTTTGTTTGATGAAAAACTCCGGATATGTTTGTCTTGGCGGAGATGAAAGATACCGTGCGTATAATGCCGCATATTTTTCATATAAACTTCACCGAAGCAACAATTGATGCCCTCAATAAGAAATTTGCCAATAAAGTAAGTATTTTTTTTTTTCTTTTCTTTTTTTTTTTTTTTTTTTTTTTTTTTTTTTTTTAACAAAAATTTAAGTGGATGACTTACTGAAGAAATAATAAACAATAATAGCCTACTTTCCAGGAATGTAACAGAGAAAAAGGCTTTTTTTTTTTGTTTTTTGTTTTTTTGGGAGGGGGGATTTCCCGTACCTCCTTGCTTTGATGGATTTTTATTTCTTTATTGTATTTTACAATAAAACTTAAAACCTTTTAAAAATATTATAATTAAAATTGGTAAAAACTTTGTGGGGAGCCAATCCCCCCTCCCCCAGCTGCTACAGTCCTGCTTTTGATTTTATTATAAAAGAAAAGGAAATATTTTTGTGACAATAATGCTCTTCTAGACATCATTTAATAATGCAGATTACAAGTCTGTTTACAGTTTACTGATTGACTGTCACATCATTTTTGTGACAGTTTGAGTTGTGGGTTTCAGTTGTGTACGAATAAGTTTCTTTAATGATTATTTGCATATTCGTATACGTATAGTTTTAAACAAATATTAAGATAAAAAAAAAATGATCAAAAACAAAGTTTTCAGGTTGACTGAATTTTACTTTTTTTTATTTTTTGGATTGTTCATTTTCGGAAGTGACTTCGAAATGCTTTTAAATGAATTACTAATTTTCCAATTGCTAACATAGAAATAGAATTAATGTAAGGGAGGTAACTCTTGTCAAATTTGCTGATTAACAAAAAAGTTTTTCATAATCATCTAAACTTGCACTTGATAATTTATTCGTATATCTAATAAATGAAATTCTTTGCGTAATGACTTTTTGTAAAGAATACTATCAGTATTTGTACACGTGATATTATTATAAAATTGAAATTTAATCTAATTGTTGATTTTAGGTTGTCCATAATGTTGGTTTGTGCATTGCGTTATGGGATCTTATCGAGATCAAAGACAGTTATTTGTTTCCTGGGGATGGTGCTTCTCACACAGTTGGTAAGTCATATATAATCTAACATTTGATGGCATAGAAAAAAAACTGGTGCTCAAGTGTGTTTCTTTTTCTTTTTTTTGTTTCACAGAGAATGATTGATATTTTTTAACAGCATATCAACTCCTTATGGGTCATTTAATGCCTAAATTTAATTTTCTTGGGAGCTTTGAAATAATAAAAATGTTATTCTGTTTTAATTGAATACACAGTAGATGATATACATATTTGTGTGGACATGATTACAAGAGTCACCCATATATGTGATTTAAATTGTAGTTTTGTTGAAGTTATATTTTGATTTCTTTAAGAAATTGTCAGATATTATATGAATAAAGAGTTCTTTCATGTTAGCTAATTATGTTTAGTGGCATATTAACACCCTCGATGGGTTATTTAATGCCAAAATCTAAATATTTTGAACATAGTTTTATGGCTTCAACTACAAATAATATTTATTGTTGATATTTTGCTACAAAATGTATTCTTGCTAAATTTACTATAAATATGTATCATTTCTTTTTTATTCTTAATTATTAAAGAAAAATACATTCCAAATATATATAACAGTAATAATAAATATTTTAGAACACTGTGTGTTGACTTTGCAAAAAGTTTGTAGTAACTTCAAAATTTTATCTATTTTATTTTTAGTTTTTAATAATCACAACTGGTAGCATAATTTATAGCTTAAGTTTAGAAAACTTCTCTGCTACCCATCTGTTAAACCAGTCAGCACTTTGTTGATTTGTCATATAGTGGACCACAACTCTGTCATTAATGGTGACTACTAAATTATTGCCTGAATTCTGCCAACTTTCTCTTTCAGCCTCGATATCAATTCATATCACTGCTCCTTCCTAGCAAATCATCACCTTTCTTATAATGCGTATACATGCATCTTTGGTCACAAAACACTGTTCTCCTTAGTAAGGATTATTTACTTGTCTGTGCACAATTTTCCATAAACGTGATGCCTAGCTGATACAGTGTTATTTTTATCTGTATTTTTTCCCCTGTGGCTAGGTAAGTTAGTGCTACTTTTATTGTCATCAAGATGAGAACAATAGTTCAAAATAACCCTGTGGTAAGTGGATTTATCCCACACCTTTGAAGAAAAAAAAAAAACCTCCCCTTATGTTGCAAGTTAAGCAGATATTCTTTTTTTTTAGTTTTTTGGTGGATAATTAACATCATTACAGGAATAACTATGGAGTTCAATTACGCAGTGAGAGGGTTAAAGTATATCAACAATTTCTCTCTCAAAAATACAAAAAGCACTATGAACTCGGCATGATAGCCAACTATCAAAACCTGACACTGAATATAAAAACTCCTAAAACACACAACTGATGTCCTTTAGTGGATGTAGAAGTTGGTTAAGCATGGGTTACTGTCATTTAGAGGTCATGAGATCAATTCCTTCATTAGGTAGTGAAACACCAGGTCAGTTGAAACAAACAATAACTGGCATGACAGGGACAAAAAAATAACACAATTAGCAGATATTCCATAACAGTCCAACAATGATGATGACCAGAGGGTACTTGGCTGATGTGTTGTCTATATCAACACCTATAATAATCAATAGTTTGAAATAATTCAAGCATACTGAATGTAGCTAATTCAATGTTTCTTTTATTGTAATCCAGACCTTCCATTTCCACTACATAATTCATAAATGTTGATATTATATGAGGTGTTACTTAAAACTTCAAAGAATTTGGACAGTGTGCATAAATTGTATGTAGTAGATCATTGCAAAAGTGTTTTGATTAGAAAATTAAAAACAAAATTTTACATGCTCCCCCCAAAACATTTAGTAGTTGAGTGCAATGGAATGCAATGAATAATGACTAGACATGAGAAATTGGAGAGCTGAGTTTGAATTCCAGTCAGGTTTATTACATCCACTTACATGCAAATACCCTTGGAAAAAGTCTCAATCCATTTGTCTATATTTCTGAGAAATTGTATCTATTGTGACTATTTCTGCTGTTTGTATCTATCCAGACTACTTATGTTATTTACCTTGTTTGGACTGTTGTTCTCATCTTTCCTGCCCCATCCACAACATTTTGACCATTGTACCGTTCGAGTTGTGTACTTATGGATATAGTTGACCCATTAATAGGAAAATCACCATCATATGCCAAAACTCTAAGTTTGCATCTCCAACACTAATAATCAAAAAACAACATTTGGGCACACATGCACCACACTCTCTTGTAGATTGTGCAATTCGTGAACACATCAACTAGTACATCATAAACAACCAAAATAAAACTATCAACATAAGACAAATACTAGTAGATAACACCGACATATTCTACAGCACCCAATGCAAGTAAAGACTCAAAACTCTAGAAACTATTATTATTATTATTATACAAAATGAACAGCCAACATTAAATAAAATACCTTCTGCTGTGAATGATATGTTGAAGTGCATATGATATAATTAATGTGTGCATATTTTATCAGTGTTATAATAATAAACATTTAAATTAATAAATAAGTGACATTCTTTTTATGCAGCCTCATTCGCAATGGCCATTACACATGACGTCATGCCAGACCATTTCAAATGTCCAGCTTCTCAAAGAATACCAGGATGCAGACAAAGGAATTCTAACTACCACACAGACACTATATCGGTTCTTGATGAGGACTGAAAAAGTCGAAAGTACTTGAACGAAAATAACAAAATATGTATTTCAGACAGTTTATCCATAACTTTGAGCACAATATTCAACACCTTACACAAAAATTGGAAAAATACAATAAAAATTAAAACTGACATACCCTGTTGGTTCTTTTTAATCAAACTTGTTTGGAGATATATATTTCTAATAGTATTGAGAAACTATATACTTACAGTTAGCAAGATAGTAATTTTATAAAGAAATCAGTGATGATGACTTTTACTGTTTGCTAAAAAGCATTATCTATTATAATTTCTGTTCTAGAATTGATTCAATGAATTTGAAAATGTGTTCATTTTGTTTAAATATCTAAAATTTGAAAATCTTTTATTTTTATTTTAAGTTCATTTCCGTTATGTTGTCTTTCGACCACACATGGACGAAATACTTGTTGGTAGGATTAAAGGAAGCAGCAAAGATGGAGTCCAAGGTAATAAATATTTTCTCTTGAATTTTTTTGTGTTTATTATTCTTAGTATTATTATTATTATCATTCTTATCATAATTCTGCTAGTTTCTTAGCAATTAGACCCTACCATAATAGAGTATTCTGTTTTGATCACAAGGAAAGATGGAAAAGATATATCAAAGTTGCCCTTTGGTTTCACTGAGGAGAAGATAAGAAGTGATAATGCTTTCTTATCTTTAAAGTTTGTTTCAGTGAAACAAAAAATTATCAATTTCAAATCTTTTCATTTGTACTCTTTTACTCCTTATACTCTAAACACCCATTAGGCAACTTCACTCACGAAGTAAAGCATTTGTCGTAGCATTGCAGTTGACTCTAATTACCAAATAACAGTATATTTAAGTTTCATGATTGTGTTGTCACATTCTGCTGTAGCAACAGCAAAAACAGCCTTGACTTAGTCCAAGGTCAAGGCTACTGCAGTTTTTATTTAAGAAACCACCATATATAGTGGAAAGAGAAGTAATACTAATGAATGATGTAGAGTGCCAAAGGTTAAATAATGACCTACATCCACGCATATGATTGTTATTGAAATGTTTGGTTGGAGTTGTTAAGCTCAAATATTTAAGCAAAGTTTAACCTGGTCAGTACCTAGATGGGTGACTGCTTGGGAATATCAGGTGGCATAAGCTTGGATGTGCAGGTAGAGTAATGGATAATGGAAATGTTAATCGGAGAGCCAAGTTCCAGTGAGGTTCATTATATTCACTTAGCCACAATTACCCTTAGAAAAGATACGAATCCACCTATTCTCTTCTCAGCTATGGATTAATTAGTAAAACTTGTATCGCTAAACCATTATCTAAAAAAAATTCAAATTCTTACAATCTAAGAATAATTCTGGCTTTAAATAACTCGCAAAGGGTTGATAACCCATAAAAAAAGAATGAATCAAATATTTAATCATGCAATAAATATTTTATAACTGTAGAACTTCTTCAATCATTAACTTAAGAATTATGATTTTTTTTTTTTTATCACTTTCACTGCAAGCAAGGCAGTAAAGCCACTAAGAAGATTGAATACAGGAATTGTGTTTATATTTCTGGGATGAGGTAGTGTAACTATTTACAGTTTGAACTGTTGTCCTTATCTTTATTGCCATATTCGCAACATTTTGGCCATTGTATACTCCGACCTTCTTCAGGTGATACATGTTGGAATTTCAAACCAAACCCTTTATTAGCCATGCTTTCTTTTGGATCTCAGAGATATCCAAATAAGGCATGGAACGTAGAATTAGAACAATCTACCCCTGTGGACTAAATAATGGGTTCAAAATTCCAACATATATTACCTGAAGAAGGCCAAAGCGTACAGTGGCTGAAACATTGTGAATATGGCAATAAAGATAAAGGACAGTCTGAACAATGTAAATAAGATTTGTGCTATTAGAATGGACAGTTAGAAACAAAAACAGTAAATATAAATAAAACAGTTTTGCTGGAATTAAGATATTATTTACATCCAGACGGTTATCTCTATCTTTGTTGTTACTATCACAGTATTTGGCCATTGTGCTCTTCAGCCTTCCTCAGATATTTGTCAATCTGGTTAACCTTCAGGGGATTTCAAACTAAACCTTTTATTTAATCTATAGAGGTAAATTGTTCTTGTTTGGTTGAGCATTTCTAGGGGTATCTCATCTTGACCTTATTCATCGATCGATTGATTGATACATTTTCTACCACTTATCAACACTTTACAGGTTATTTAAAACCAGAAAATATTTTTAGATTGTAATTTTTTTATTTATTTATTTATTTTTTTGAGAGAGAGAGATAATGAGTTATGATTTACTGATACAAGTTTTACTAATTCCCCCATAGCTGGGCGAAAAGAAGTGGGTTCATACCTTTTCCAAGGGTATTTGTGCACAAGGGAGTATAATGAACCAAAATGGTATTTCAACTGTAAAATATTTGTAAAGTTAAAGTACCAAAGAGGAAAGCTCATCAGCACAATTACCATGAAAATATTTATATAAAAAAGGCACAGGGAAGCTACGTTATAGTGATGGAAAAGTAACTGAAAGTTAAATAGATGGTTCAGTTTTAAATTCTCTGATGGTTACCGGGATTGACAAGCACCTGAAAAAGGTGTGAGAACATATGGACAATAGTAAATTAGCATAGGACAATAGTAAATTAGCATAGGACAAAAATAGATGTTTGGCTCAGGAGATTGTGTTACAGCAACCTTCCAAGTTAGAAAAGCTCACCTGCCTTGAAAATCTATACTCAAAATCTTGCAGGCTTCACTGCCAACTTTGAAAGCAGGATATATATATATATATATATATATATATATATATATATATATAAAATAGTTTTTTTTTTTTTTTTTTTAAGGAAAATCCAAAATTGGTTTAATGTCTTGGAAATCAGGGGATTTTCTAATGCAACTTGACATATGTTGAATAACATGTTTTATTATAAGCTTTTTTAGACTGAAAATTGTTTGAAAATAAATACTAATTCTTATTCCTACTGCCATAAGGCTGCTTTCCTGTGCCTTTTCTATAAATACTTTCAGGGTAATTGTTCAGATGAGCTCTTTGCTATAGTTTCTAGACCTTTTTGAATTTAAGTGCAGTACTAGACTGGCAATTTGGTCTCGTCATTTTACAGTTGAGTTAACATAGAATTTATGGTTACATCTTGCCAACAGTTTCTTTTCTCACTTGTGGAACTCCCTTCTTAGCTCCATGCTTTCTAGCCAACTTTAATCTTCGAAAATTTAAATGCAATGTCAATCATTATCTATTATCCTCATGATTACTCTTCTTTTGATCTTGCTCATTAGTAGTATTTTTGAATCCATCTCTTCTCCCACCAGCTATGGGTTAAATAGTATAACATATCTGGAAAAAACATTGATATCTATAAAAATTTATTAATGCAATCTTGAATCACAAAAAAATTATTACCAATCAAAAACATGTTTTGACTTTAAATAACACATAAAGGGTTGATAAGCTGTAAAAAAAAAAAAAAAATCAACCTATTAATCTTCAGCAATGGTCACTAAATTACATCCAGTCAGTTATGTGCCATGCATGATACATGCTTAGGCAATCATGTATCCTTCGATACATGACTGACAAGGCAGATTTTTTCCTGCACTAGGTTGCCATTTCTTTCTGCAGTAGATCAGTTGCCATCCAAGGCTATAGAACTTGATCTGTCCTGCTATTTACCCATAGCTGGGGGGAGAGGAGGAGGATTCTTACCTTTCCCAATGGTATTTGCACATAAGTGAATGTAATGGATTTGACTGGAATTAGAACTCTGCTCTCTGATTCCTCAATCTGAGCCGCTATCCATTACTCCACCGTGCCTCCATAAGTACATTAGTTTAGTAAATATCAAGAAACATCTTAAAATATATGTACAAAGTTTTAAATTGAAAAAAGGTATTTTTATAGGATTCTTAATTTTTTAAATTTGTAAGCCTTGACAGAGAATTTTACAGATTTCATAATATCCACAATAGTAGGACTTGTATCTAAAAAAAAAAAATCATTGATATCTGCAAAAATTTGTTATTCAATTGCAAAAAAAAGATTATAATTATTACAGTTCAAAATATATTTTGGCTTTAAATAACCTATGAAGCTGTAAAAAAAAAAAAAAAAAAAATGTAAATCAATCATTTGTTTTGAAAAGTGAACTATTCTATATAGAAAAACACTTAAATATCAAGATACATCCTGTATCTTGATATTTAAACAAAAGATTACCCTTTTCTTGAGAGCTGTGTTTTGTTGGTAAGACAAAAGGCACTGCTATTTTGGACTTTTTTGTTTTAATTGCACAGTCTTCAAATGATTGTTAGATTGTGTTACATCAGAATCTGTCTAGTAAAAAGACTAATTCATGATTATGAAAATGAGACTTGTTTAATTAACAAGTGTAAGCATTTTTATCATTTATTACTATTAACAAATTTTCTTAATCAGCCAAGTTCATAAATTTAAAGTTGTTAACTGGGTAATGTTATTTTCCATTTTTCACTTGTGAACTCTCTTCCGGCTTCTTGCTTTCCAGTCAACTTTGATCTTCAAAAATTTAAATACCATGTCAATCATTATCTTCTGTCTTCTTAATAATTCCTGTTCTTTTATTGTTCTCTCTTGTTAATGTTTTTTCCTCATATTCTCTCACACTTAGTAACCTCTTAAGAATCTTAGTGGGTTTATTGCCTTACTTTGGTTGGAATGGTTAAAAAAAAATATTGCCAGGTTATTAAAGCTGTTGATTAAAAAGTGAGAAAAGAAAATCAATAGTAACAGATATTTTCTTTAATATTATAATATCCTTATTCTCTCATATTTATTTCTAACCACTGACACTTCCTTTCTTTCTGATTTTAATACATTTATTTCTATGGTAAAGTCATTAGAAGAACATTTAAAATATACATATACTAAGTTGTATTCTACAAGTGATGCATTAATTCTTAACCCTGTCAATCTCTTCCTGATTTTCAATGTAGAGCATACAAACGAAAGAAATTTGTTGGTAAATTATCAAAATTTCACTTTTAAGAATTGAATCTTGTTAGGGTTTCTTTATTCAAGGCCAGAGAGCTTCACGTTTTTCATGATCTTTCATCAAGACCAAAACTCACCAATAATAGTTATTATAAAGTGTTTTATAGCCTTTGTATATTAGAGGTGTGTCTCTAATAGATAAACATTAAATGCTCAATTTATATTAAATAAATTTTGGAAATTGGCATCAGCTTACTTTCTTATATAGGTTTTTCATATTGACCATTGTTTCCCAACTTCAGTGATTTCAACCGTTTGATGGGCGATGAGTAGCTGAACAGAAAATGGTGGGAATTATAGTGGGCGATTATAGGATTTTGAGTATTAAAAAAGGCATTTCAACATATGCTACCTAAGCAAAATATATTTAAAGGTGATATACACAGAATCCAGAAAAAAACAAAATGGAGGGTAAATGGGATATAACTGGGTCACATTCTGAGATGAAATATAAATATCCTCACAAACAAGGAATATTTTGGTATTTTCTATAGCTTTCATTTTAAGGGTCATTAACATTCAAATAGTTCTTCAGATAAAATAACTTTTTTTTTTTTTTTTTTTTGCTTTTTGCTATAAATCAGATAAGGGAAGCCCAAGAACAACAAAAATTAAGAACTAACTTCTGGATAATTTTTATTTAATATAAGATTGTTTTTATTTATTTTATATCACATTGGCCATCTTGAATTTATCAAGGCAGGAAAAGTGCCCGTCAAGACATAACTTATCCATCACTATATGCTTTTAAATAGTTACTATATTAAAATAAAAATTTTAAAGTTACTATACAGGTGGGCAGTGGAAGATTTTTCCATGTGAAAGTGGGTGATGATGCAAAAAAAAAATGATTAGGAAACCCTGATATTGACTATCATGTGTAATTTTATATTGAGTGTCATTATGTGCACAATTGCTTTCATATTTAGTTTTGTGTGTGTGTGCGCATAATTTCTCTTGTACTGTCATTTTATGTGAATTAATGCAGTTTATGGTTGTAGTCCATGATGTCTTGGCAACTCCTGCAATAGTGCTGGAACTATTTGCCTTTCCATTGGACCATTTCAGTGGCACAGAAAGAGAGGAAATTTACTGTCCTCCATATCAATCTACCCAAGCTTTGTGCATTTGAGAAGACATGAAACAGCAGTCAAGATGCAGTACCTGAAACATCATCCACACTACAACTCTTCCATCTCTCAAAGACTGATGGATACTTAATCTAATCTAAATATGGGGGGATTCATTTTATATTGATATCTGTAATAATTAGTGTGTAATTAGTTTTTTTTTTTTGTTTTTTGCAGTGTCTCTCGGATTTTTTGATGACATTTTGATTCCAAGTGATGCACTTCAATACCCTTCCAGATTGTATCTTTTATGACTGATGAAAACTGACAAACCTTTATATTATATGAAAGATGTTTGGACTCAATTCCAGACCACTGACAATCATTTTCTTCCTCAGTTGGGCTTATGCCCATATCATGTTGAAATATTGGTTACCATTTGATCACTGAAGTTAAGCAACATCAAACCTGGTCAGTACCTAGATGGGTGACTGCTTACGAATAGCAAGTGCTGTAAGCTTGGATGTGTGGGTGGTGTAATGAATAATGACTTGGATTTGTTAATCGGATAGCAGAGTTCCAATTCCAGTTTGGGTCATTATATTCAGTTACGCACAAATACTCTTGGGAAAAGTATGAATCCACCTCTTCTCCCCTAGCTATAGGTTAATTAGTAATAATTGTATCACTGAATCATTATCTAAAAAAAAAAAAAAAAAAATCTTATCTAAAAATATTTTCTGCCTTTAAATAACATGCAATGAGTTAAGCTGTAGAAAATGAATCGCTCAATCTTCCTCAGTTACAATGTATTTCTATATTAAAATCATTGGCAATGCATTTATATTATGCATATAATAATCTTATCCTGTCAGTAACACTCAACTTGATTGCAGATACCTGTCACTCCCTTTATTCCTGATTTTCAATCCTTTTCTGTAAATAGTAAAAATTAATTTATACAGGCCTTAAAAAGTGACAGCATATTTTATGTTCTAATATTAGCAGAATGTTTTTACATAAGAGTCTAAATGTATACGAGTTTTTAACTATGTACATAAATAATAGATCTAGAAGATATGTTATACAACTCTGTATATGAAACTAATAGTGGGTAATTGAATGACAAAATGGTAAAAACACATACATTACACATTTCATCTGAAGAAGTCTTCTGGAAGGATGAAATATATAATATAGGTTTTTTTTTCCTTTTGTCATTCAGTTACCACTATAAATAAATAGATACATAAATAAATACCTGTGAGTTTTTAAATTTTTGCAAATATATTAATGTGTTAATTTTGGTTGGAGGATCAATTTATTACTTAACAATTGAAAATCAGTCCCCCCGTGCTTTATGTACAATAGAATTTTATATTGATATGAGTTTAACCATAAGAAAAAAACGATAATATATTTTGTTGTTTTTATAATTATCAGGTTTTCACATGTGAATCCTTAAATAAATTTTCCACTTATTGTTGTCATCTGCTCTTTTTATGGTTGTTTTTTTTTTTCCCTTCATTGAATTTTTTATAAACCTTGAAACGAAGACACTGCTACAGTGTAAGGGAGATAACACATATATTGCAAAAAGACAGACAAGAAATAAGCAAATACTTTTGACAAATCAGATATAAATTATTTTCAATGTATTTCTATAGTAAAATTGTTTTCACTGCATATCTATAGTAAATTCTAATAACAATATATATGGCCATTATACACAAAATAAATAGGCTATTCTGTCTGTAACACTTTGCTTAATTTCTGACTACTGAGATTTTTGTTTTTGTTTTTGTTTTTTTTTAAATAACCTGATTTTCATTGCATAAAATACAGGTTAAGTGCTGAAAATTGTTCCAACAAATTTTAGGTAAAACTAGAATAATTCAGGATTAATTGCTTTTCTTACAAGCAGGAAATGGGTTAAGCTAAATGGAAGAGTATCGGACAAGTCATTAATCATTGAATGCTTGATCTTTTATGGATTACCAGAACATATTTTGGATTGTAGGAAGCTGCTTACAGTACCCAGTATTCCAAAGCAGTCCCCACATCTAAGTACCAACCAGGCTTAACACTGCTTAACGCTGGTGATTGATCAAGAATCGGTGCTTTCAGCATGATTTAAATGTAAGCGCATTGATAGGAAAAGCCAGAATGTTGCTTGGGGAGAGTGGTAATTATAATCATAGTTTAAATTTACCCCTATTGTATATTTAATCATTGGTTTAAATGAAAAATCTGACATATTTGTTTAATAAATCATCCTTGTTTGATCTTGGGTCATATAAACTGCTTATATAAAAATATTTAGTCAGTGTTTACAAAGTTATGGAAAAAAAAAAAAAACCTATGACAAAGTGTAAAAGCTTTGATGTGATGCATTTCATTCTTTAGGACATCATCAGACTATACATGTGCACCAAAGAAAAGGGGCACTGAGAATTTTAAATTAAATTTTTTTTTTTTTTTTCCTAAATATGTTTTGTGTCTATAGTCTAGTCGATTTTATTTAGTTTGTTTATGTTTCCATCAATTTTGTTATTAAATAAACAACATTGTGATAATGGAAGATCTGTCAAGAAAGGTGAAACGTAAGATCCTGGGTGCAAATTTACTGTAGATGACCAAGCAATTAAAGCACTTTCTAAACATTTTTGTCTAAGTAAATTGTTTTCTCTTTTTTAATTAGAGTAGCATTTTTTAAATCAAAATTGTGTTACAGTGAATAACTAATACATTTAATGTGTTGTTTTGTAAAATATCCCTTTAGTGTTCATATAATCTTTTATTTAAATTCCTTGAGGTTTCACCTATGTATTCATCGTAGAAATTATTACAGTTGATAAGAGTAAATTCCTCCTTCAAGTTTTAGTTTATTATTTTATTTTGTAATAAGCTTTTTATTGTTTTAAAAGTAATTGTAACAAATTTTATGCTACGGTTAGATAAATTCTTTTATTTGAAGTTGTGTAGAGTTTGTCGATAGAACAATATATTTTGATTCATTGGGTTTGTCAGGAAGGTTCACTTTTTAATTTTTAAATATTTTACAATCTTTTTGTCTAATACTGAATAGAAAATAATTAAGGTATTGAAGGAGCTTAAAAGTATTTCAATATATTTCTCCTCTTCATGTAAATACTGAGGGCTACAATTTCTGAGTGCTCTTAAATACAATCTGATAATTATTCCAGATTTTATTTTGTTATAGTGACAATAAAAATATGTGATAATTTTTATTAGTTGATTTGTGATGGACACTTAGTTTTAGGCTATTGTTAATACAGTGGAACATGTCATCTAGGAAAGGTAAAGAATTGTTTCCATTTAATAAGTAAATTCTATTGTATATTCAATTTTGTTTAGTTATCTACAAGGTCAGATAAATTAGTTTCACAGGGATATATTTGTATATCATTTTCCCAGACAAGAAGTTATATATTTTATATTATTATAACATTATAAATGTATTATTTTTAAGCATAATATTTAATTTATAATTAATATTCATATATTTTTTAGTATAAAAGAGATAAAGAATATTTAATTCTATTAATTATTTTGGCAGTTTTCTATGAAATCCTCATTCAATCTGGGCCATATTAAGTTTCTAATTATGTATTATCTTTAAGAGAATTGATTTTACGTTTCTGGTATGACCAGTCTGTTTCCAGCATGTTATTTTTTTCCTTAATTTTACTGACAGTGATGAGCAAGAACAATTGTGGGTTTGGCTGTATGAAAATGAAGATGAAAAACATGACCTTTTTATGGATATTGGAGAAGAGATCAGGTATCATCTCAACATTTTTCTCTCTCTTTTTCTTTTTTTTATATTGCTTTAATTTTCTAAATCTGTAAAAAGCCTTTCTCTTTCCTTTCATTTTCATGGTTGCCATGGTCATTTTCAGGCAATGGTAGAAATAGAAACACTATTCTTATGGTGAGTTATTTAAACTAATGCTCTACTTATTGCATCATTTTTTTATGGATATATGAAATAAGGGAAATTAAATCTGAACTTGGTCTAAAGTAGACTTTATTGTACATTAATAGGGCATAGGCTTGGCTTGCAAATAAAAAATATTAGAATATTTTTCTAAATAAAAACAGAAATCTCTCTCTTGTGTATGTATATATATATATATATATATATATATATATATAAAAGTGAATATAAATATAAATAAATATATATATATGTATAATTATTTATATATTATATCTGTGTACTTATTAGAAAGCGCTCAATTTGTCTGACGATCGCTAAAGCGTGAAACCCAGGATCACAAACTCACATCTATCCAACCAAAAAATATATATATATATATATATATATATATATATATATATATATATATATATATATATATATATATTTCATTGAACAACAGTGACAAGGTATTTTTGTTTAAATTATGTTGGGCATACCATCACCTGCCTTTCAGGATAGTTAACTCTACATTTTTATAACCAAAGCTCAGTGTTAAACATACATGTCAAGAACACAAGTGTGAAATGTACTTCCAACACTGCAAAGTGTATTGAAATGATAGAAGTCCTTATATATATATATATATATATATATATATATAAAAAGCCAACCCTTAATAACATCAGTTATGAAATTAAGAACATGTCTACTTTCATTAACCATCTACAATAGCACTTACACACTATTTATTATTGATGTATAACAAAAATCCCTGAAAATGGCTAATCCTTTAGCCAAAAGTACTCAATCAAGAAACGTTGACAAGTTTTACATTCATTAACGTTAGAAATAAAAATGCTTATATACCTGATAAACAAAAGTGCCATGTCAGCTTTGTTGAATGAAACATATATTAAAGAGGGATTGTTGACCAAAAACTCGCACACAAATACACACACACACACATATATATATATATAAATATATATATATATATATATATATTACACACACACACACACACGCATACAGGGTGCAATGGGTAAATTTGTCACCATTTTATATTTTTAATTTCACACGTGTGTTGTTTGTTTTTGTTGACTGCACAGTATAGTAAGGTTAGTTGGGCACCGTCCGTGAGAAAAAGAGCACCATGACACAATTCACTCTGCCAGAAATTTGGAAATGCCATGTTGTACTGCTTGACATTGGTGCTAGAAGCGCCAATATGAACATTACCAAGTGTTTCGGTGTCAATCTGAGGACAATGCAGAGGATTTGGAAAGAGTTGGATGAATCTAAATAGTGATTACAAAGGTACAGTAGCTTGGAAAACTTACTCGGAATGTTCTGATAAGAAACAAACTCCTGAATTTGTTGGTGAGGGCTTCAAACTCAATGCAAAGGCTTACATGAAGTGCTTTGAGGAGGTAGTGCTGCCCTGGGTCAAGTGGGTAGCTGCTGGAAGACCCTATGTCTGGCAACAGGACTCTGCACCATACCACATGTCATGGCTGTTAGGCAGTTTCTGCAACCACATCCACCCCTTACATCTTGCCACCTAACTGCCCAGATTATAACACCCTTGATCATTATGTGTTGGATGCAAATGAGCAAAAAACCAACAAAACTCCTTGAAACACCAAAGAAGTGAAGAAATGGATTATGACAGCATTCACCAACTTAAATAAGGAGACCATCCAGAAGAGTTGCAGGAGATTCCAAAGTCATCTGGAGGCTGTGATTGAAGTCAATGTTGATTTTATTGAATGAATTTACTCTTTAGTATTTCAAGATATTTTTGTGTAATTTTGGTAAACATATCTGTTAAAATGAGATATCAGTGTTATTTTTATTTTTGCATAATTTAAACAATTTATCAATTGCACCATATATATATATATATATATATATATATATGTGTGTATGTTGTATAGGAATTAAGTGTCATTGCTGACACTGTAGTTTGAACACAGATCACCAGTGAGCAAATGCAGACAATTCCATTATTAAATAAGTATATTACATGATCGTAAAGGAAACATATAAATGGGAATTAGTGTGACGTCTAAGTGATCACTGTTTTCTATACTATTTCTATATACTGATCATTATATGAATTACTATTTGGCAATTACTATTTGACCAAGTATTATTAGTGCAAGTATTATTTGAAGGCGTTACTACTACCAGTATCTGCATTCACAAAGTTTCATTTACAACAAGCATTACAGAAGTAATAATGAGCATTCGTTGACTTAACGAAAGTTAGAATGGGTGAGCGTTTAACATCACAAAAATATATATGTATATATGCAAGCCCTCTACCATGACAAGGAATGACCACACACACACACATATATATATATATATATATATATATATATATATATAAGGATCAATTCATTCATAACGGATCTGGAGGTTTTTGTGTACTATTTGAATTGTTTGCGAGATGGATGTCTCGCCATTTAAATCATTAACCTTTGCATTAGTTTTGTATGAATAATTCATGTATTTGTAAATTGATTGCACGTTTATTGTAATTTAAATATCTGATCCATGTGCGACTTTTGGTTAAAAAGTGCGACATTACTGTAATTATTGAACAATATAGTTCATGCCACTTTGACAGTAAAATTTACCAGTAAAATAATTTGTTCATCACCATATTTGGTATAAACATAAACACTTTAAAAATTTAAAATCAAACTCAGCGTTGTTAGTAGCGTTCAAAAAACCAATAACTCATTTTCAATAGCATTTGGATACAATACACATATATTTTCGATGTCCTCTTATTACTAAGAGAAAAAACAAGAACAACATCTATTATATACCTGAAGATGTCTGTAGGAACAGACGAAAGCTTGTAGTAAAAATAACAACTAATACGGCAGAAATTTATATAAACAAGGATCAATTCATTCATAACGGATCTGGAGGTTTTTGTGTACTATTTGAATTGTTTGCGAGATGGATGTCTCGCCATTTAAATCATTAACCTTTGCATTAGTTTTGTGTGAATAATTCATGTATATATATATATATATATATATATATATATAACATTGGATGTCAGTGAACAGTTTGTTATCAAGTCAATTTGACTTATTACTTTAATGACAATAATAGAAACTAATCGATAAATAAGGAAACAGTGTAAAATTCTCATGAAATATGTAAGCATTTTTTATTATTGTTGCTAAAGATATTTGAAAGATAAATAATAAAGGAAGAAATTCACTACCGGACCAATATTTTTAAAAAAAAAACACAAACAAGACAATAATGTTACAAATCGAAACACTTTTCCTAAAAATTCAAAAATACATCCTTGTCTCCACCCCCCAAAAACGTTAATTCCAATTAATAAATAAGAAAAGGGTAAAATAATAAAATTATTGGCAAAATGTTATTAAAAATGTTTGAATGATAAAATAATGATAAAAATCGGTGATACTGAACCATTAGTCAGGGATAAGAAAACAAATATTTTTGCTTGAAATGCATTTCCTACAAATTCAAAAATTACATCATGCCGAGGAATAGGGACCAGACTGAATGTGACCAACTCCCAAAGACCCCAATGGTGGAATAGGCAATGATCTACACAATCTCAACAATCAAACCGGTGAAAGAGGGCAGTGCCAATTGGGCTGGCATAACCAAGGCGCAGACCTTGACACACCAAGGAACCAAATTTGCCAGATCTTGCCTGTCTCAATCCCCTTTGAGTTACAATGGAGGCACTTCTGGCCAAGTGTGTGGGCTTCTCTATCATGCAGAGTTGTCCACCAAAATCAAATTCATGTGAATGACCTTGTCAAACACTCTTTGATTTTGCTTTCTACCATCCTTCAGCAAGTCCAATGGCAATGGTTAGTCTCCAGGGCTGTGGTCCTCTCCACCCTTCTGTATGCTTGTGGGACCTAGTCTTTGTATTGTTGGGATATCAAATGTCTGGAGCGGTTCCAGCAAATGAAGCTTCAAAGAATCCATTGCATCAGTTGGAAGGACTGCATCTCAAACAATAACGTAAGATGCTACAAGGAGGCTCAAAACAACCCTTCAAGGACCAGTTGAAGACATCCCTGAAATAGGCTAACATTGATCCTGAGATCTGGGAAACTGGTGCTGCAAATTGGCTTTCCTGTCGTATAGCCATCCACAGTGGGGACTTTCAAGTCCAACTGTTAATTTGAAGTGGGTCTGTGATGTGCTGTCAGGAGGGCCCAACTCACCCAGCCGCGTCCACCACCCATACTCTGTGACTCCTGCTTCCAATTCTTCAGGATTAGGCTTGGCCTTAAAAAAAATTATTAAATATTATATAAGCCATTTCAAAACTTGAACAAAAATAACATAATGAACATGATCTTTGGCCATTTTATCCACAATTTTGATCCTGATATAAAACATCTTATTTGAAAATTAGAAAAATAAAGTTAAATTGACAGACCATGTTGGTTGGACATTTTTAAAGAATCTTTGAAAGTTGTAATAAATTTAGACTTTAAGATCAGGAATGGTTGATTATGTTTGTTGGGGTGGGTTAGCTCACCAACCTCTGTGAGATAAAATCAAAATTATAGGGAGCAACATGAGGTAACAGGTGATGGAATTTGTATAGATATGACAAGTGCACTGGGAATAATGCCTCAGAGTTATTTTCATGGAAACAGACACAAGGCATGCATTAATACTTGTAAAAAAAGCTAAAAAAAGATTTTTTCCTCATTGTCAGAACCATTGCCTATGAGTTTTCATCTGCAGTGAGCCTGTATGTCATGTTTGTAAAATCTGTACCTTCAAAAGCAATGCACTTTTCCTCCAGCTGTGATAAGAGCATCATTGTC